TGACGAATATGTCATAATCGAATATCGAGAACCAGGAAAAGCAAGGAGTTACGTCCGATACGTAAGGAATTGTCATACATAGAAAAAGAAAGGAATGTATCCAATAAAGGCATTCAATAATTGAGATGTAAAAGTCGAAAGGTGCGCGGAAACCACCGTTGGTGTTTAAGTTACAATAGCAAGGAGTAAAAAATTCCAAGCCGTAGACCATCGAAACTGAAGTAAATGAAGAGAGAAAACACCGCAGACATATTTCGTCCTTCTGATTACCAACCGCGGGACTTTCGCTCGAGATGATTCTTATCATAATTTTGAAGTAAGTGAATTAAGTGATGTTAAAATAACATATATAGTTTAATTAAAAACAATCGCTCTCAGTTGTTCTCTTCTCACGTAAAACTGAATTAAACACTTCTGTCTAGAAAGCAGACTGAATGCCAGCTTTGAATTAAAATTTTACTGCGTAGTCATTTATGTAATATAAGTGATATTTATATAGGCTAATAATATGTATCGATTAGTTATATAAATGAAATTTTTATTTTACTTTAAGTGAAATGGGATTTTGATGCGATATTTCCAGAAACTCTTTGGAATTTTAATTTTTGAACAAACACGACAGTTAATGTTTATAGAAACTTTCTTATTAAGTTAAGTGCATTCTCCAATTTATCGAATATGTCTTTGTGTACTTTCTAGGCAGATAGGCACTTAACATTATGTTTATTTTAAAAGTGGAAGTAAAGTGACGGCGAGCGAAGGGGGGAGGTTTCCAGCCAGACACGTGTGTGACCGAGATATTGTACTTCTCATTCGAACCCGTTTTTTGATTTATTTCTTCTCCCGTGAATTATAAAACCGCTCGCATTCGATGAATCTCCGTCCATTGTACGCGAGTGCCCATTGATAAATAATGATAATTGTATCTTATAGAAAAAAAACAGTAACGAGTTATTTAGCTATTCCGGCAACATTTGGTGGTGCCATCTATCGAAATAATTAAAGTCAAAATTTAACGAATTTTGGTTTTAATCGTAAATATTCTCGCGGCGCAGCTAAGCTGTTGCCGCTGTTCTGAAAAACACTTTCATTAGCAAAACTTTTTTTCTATAAAAGGACTTTATTAACGACTAGCTTATCTGTCGCGCATTGCTGCGATCTCAGAAGAAACGAAATTCAAGCAAACTCGTTATAATAAAATTCAATTTACATTTTATCGGTAAAACATTTCAAAGTCTCGTTTCAATTCTATTTATTTATTGGAGTGTTTGTGGATACACGATATTTATTGTTTTTCCGTCTGGCGCGTACGCGAATAAATTAGGTTTTCCGACGCGTGAGCCGGCCACATACAGTTGTCCACGCGAGAAGCATGGATTCTCGCGTAGACAACTGTATGTAATCCACACCCTCACAGCGATTGTCAGAAGCGCGATATTCCCCATTTATATATATATATATATATTTTAATCCTTTATAATTTTAATTATTTAATTGCTCCTTCGTCTCTTCCTTGGCACGTTGTGAAATTTCTGATAGTTGGATAATAAACCGTTTTATTGTAATTTGTCTTTTTAAATTATTTGAGTCGATATTAAAATTTGGAAAAGAGTGGATACCTAGATCGGTAAAATACGCAAATATTTTATATTCGCGAATTTCCGCTCTTGTCGTATTCTTGATCTCGCGGATGCTTCAAGATATGAATTTAGCTTGTCAGCTAAAGTACACAGTAGTGTGACAGTCTGTGATTCTTGTACATATTTGAGTTCATTACCTTCACTAGAATCAGAAATAGTAAGTTCTCCAAAAAGGCAATCAAGCATTTGTTTTGCTGATGAAATTATAATTACCTCGGCTGGAATGCAATGTCACTCTCGAACTTCTTATATTTGTTTTCACCAGTAAGGTAAAATAACAGTCCCATCAATTTTTCGTTTCTTCTCTCTTTTATGCGGATAACAAAATATTCGTGTACTTTTTTTAAGAAAAAGCAGTGTTCAATTGTTTCAGTTCATTCAAAACGAAAGAACTAAAATCCTGTGCTGAAAGTAGACTAGATTTTCTTCTACCTAGCTTTTCAACCGCTGCTTTTAAGTTCTAGAGATGCCACGAATTACATCGACTTCTTGTTTTTTAAGACTAAGAGTACTATTTTTATCTTCTTTGAGATCAATGAGAGCTTTCAACACGGATGGTCTTATCTTGATATACCGTTCTAGCATAGATAAAGGATTGTTCCATCTAGTTTTTGAATCCAACATTAAATGTAAGGGTTTTCCACTATCCCGTTTAATGTATTATTGTAACACATTATTCTTCACGGGTGACTTACGAAAGGTTTTAGCTATCTTTCTGACTTTATTGATGATTTGAGAGACGTCGATTTCATACAATTCAGAAGCTATATCTATTTCAAATAGATTTTCATTACAGTGTTCGTATTCTGAAATAAAATTTTCAACTTCAATACCTCGAGTGAAATCATCTTCACTTTCATCAACGTTATACTCGTCTCTTTGGTGATCTACTTCTGGCTGGCTTTCATCAATAAAGGGGATTGTAAGGTGGGTAGATGATTTCTGATACAAAGCATCACACACTGCTAAGTGGATTCCTAGTGCATAACACAATTGATGCTCGCATTCAATTAATCTTCCCATTTTTTCATCACAGTTGCACCATCAGTTACACAAGCCACCACGTGTTTTTCCAAAGAAATATGATATTCGGCTAACTTTTCTTTGACCACATTAACAGCAAGTTCAGCGGATAGAGAACCAGAAATCCTTACCATTCCTAAATTCCAAAATTTTCCCTTCCCTATGTGTACATTAATATTTAGGCTATATATTGGCAATTGTTTAGAGAGAAGTACTCGTCTAATGATATACTAAACCTTGTTACTGAAGTTATTTTCTCCCCAATTTAAGAAATCAAATTTTCTTTTTCTGTTTGTATTGTGAGTGAACTAGATCCATGACACGAGTTGGATTTGTTGGCAAAGTTCTCTGCCAAAGATTGCCTGAATATATTCACTTTTTGCAATAGAATTAATAGCTATACCATCTAGCGTAGACACTTTGTATCTATTTCTTGCAAAGTATTGTTTTATTAAAAATGATGGTAGATTTTGCTGAGAGGCTTTCCTCTCAGCAGAATCTACCATTCTACATTCATGTTCTGCACTTTTATTATCAGAATCACTAGTAAAACACTCGTTTATATTGTGCTTAGCACGCAGATGACTGATGAGACCACTAGTAAACCAAGCTTTGCACAAAGTGTAAAAACTTTACACTTTTTACAGGTCGCAGATTGTTGTACTTGGTTTTTAAAAAATGTTTCCAAACAAACGACTCTGTTATTACAATGGTTTGATTTTATCAATTATATAAAAAGAAATTGTTGTAAAATACGAGTAATTGACTAATAAAAAAATTTCAAATAATCACATTTACAGTTACAAACGTTAGGATATAAATGGGAATGTAAGCTTTAACAAATTCCTTAACTTATAAATGCGAATCGAAACTAAAGTGCGACGAGTTATACAGTCGACCCCCTATAAGATCATAGATACGTTCCATTTTTTAGGAATCCGATTTCTTACGAGTCGTTCCAATCACAGCCCGACACGTGTGAAATTTACGGACTACGGCTGATTGAAAGGTTTTCTTCCATAAAATTAATCGATTCTAGACTAATCCGACTCAACATTTCCAAAATACGTATATATTTTTTGGAAATAATCCGTATAAACTACGTTATAAACAAAAAATTGTAGGATTACTTACCGAGTGTGCACC